CGCGGTGTGTGGGGGAGACGGCGTGGCCGGCCCGTGCCGTGCGGGGGAGACGGCGTGGCCGGCCCGTGCCGTCCGGGGTAGACGGCGTGGCCGGCCCGTGCTTCCCCCGCGCCCCTCAGCGGAGCGGCCGCCGCGGGGGCCGAGCCCGGCACACGTTCCTGCCGGGCGCGCGGTCTGTGTGTGACACCGGCGGTGACGGGACAGCCGGGCAGATTGCTGCCGCGATGGACAGCGAGCAGGCGGCTGTGACCGGACATCCAGGGAAGGCAACAGGGTCGGTGACGGCGGCAGCTCCATGCGCGTTCCCACCGTGGAACGGGATCCATCGATTTACCCGGAGGAGCTGCCCGGTTCCAAAGCCAATACAGCCCGTGGCCCTCTGTCCCCGCAGCCCGCGGGGTCCCGGCACGGAGCTCCCGAGCACCCGCACAGCGCGAGCCGCCGCTGCTGCCGCATCCCCTGTGCAAACCATGCGTGGCCGTCTCCTTTTTCGTTCCTTGTTATAAAAAGTGCTCAGTTCCTTCGATCATCGGGCTGCTGTCTTTAGCATATTTCCAGCACTAAAATTTTTTTTAAAGAAAAATCTAGCAGCTAAATGTTCTTTCAGGAGGCATAGAAGCCACCCCAGCTATCTGCCACAGCCATGCATGTGTCACTATGCCCAAGCACGATCAGCATGAAGCTGAAGAGGCACTGTTTTCCTCCTCTTTTCTTCCGGTCCCAAAGTCTTTACCTTTTCCCAGTAGTGGATTGATAAATGTAAACACAACTTGTCCCTGCAGCTTCTCTGCAGATGCAGCGTGTACTAGCAGCAGCATTGTCTGTCTTCATTTCCCCCTGTGAGTTCTGGTTGCACTGTGACATTCAGTGTTGAACAGGAGGCCTGAGGCACTGCTCCTGCCATTGAGTCTTCTGAAGCATCGCTTTGCTTTCACATGCCAAGGGTGACTGAAGGTGTGGGTTTACTTGTGATTCAAGTCTGAAAATATAAGATGAAAACCGTGGAATTTGGATCATAAACATACTGGAGAAAGTTTGTGAAATGGCTTCTTCGATGAGAACTTAAAACGTGCTAAAGCAGAGGCAGCCACAGATTTTGCACAGCTTTCTCCTGCAGCAACTCGTATAGCAAGGGTGAGCTCTGTGGTTCAAGTGGGATAATGAGCTCAGGTTGCTGAGCTGCTTTCAATAGCAGAATTTTCAGCATATTTTGGTGAAGGTGTTTGCCAGACACTTAAATGGATTCCGTATGTCTGGCCTAGCAGCAGCAGCTCTGACCTTCCCAGCTGGCCTCACATGGGAAGGTGAGAAGCAGGGATCAGCCTGCTGTGCTGCTGCTCTCAAAATCTGTCCAGGCACCACTCGCAGAACAGTTTCCTGCCAGTGGCCAAGTCCTGCAGCAGCTCTCCTACTCTCCTACCTATGTTTTGGTAGGAAAGAAAATATGACAGTCTTCAAGACCAAACCAAAGCTGCATTTTTGTGTCCATTATGAACCCATTTCCCAGAACCAAGGAACCAAACTGGCTCCCAGGAGCAGCTGCAGTCGGTTAAGGAAAGCAGATGCCTGTTGGGTAGCTCTGTGAGCCCCGTTTACAGGCAGTAGCAGTTCCTGATGAGCTGGCAGCATTGATTTCATGGCTGGTTTAGTGCATACCCGAGGAAGAGCATTGCTGTCCACTTGTCTGGAAGGGGTTGTGCCCTGGGGGAGCTGGGTCTGTCCGTTTGGAATGCATGTGTCAATAGCAGGCTGGATCACGGAGGATGCTGAATGTTTCTGCACTCTTGCTCCTCAGGTTACCAATGCAATGATGGAGATAGCAATTGTCCAGTTGACCAAAGGGTCCTAATATTATCCTGGAGTCATTGTTATTTGTCTCATAATATTGACACACAACTGAAGAACATTTACAATACCCCTAATTTACTAAAACCAATAATTTGTCCTGGAATTAGGACTAGCTCGGGTTGCTCCAAGCCCAATCCAGCCTGACCTTGAACACTTCCAGGGATGGGGCAGCCACAACTTCTCTGGGCAACCTGTACCAGGGCCTCCCCACCCTCACAGGGAACAATTTCTTCCTGACATCTAATCTAGTTACTTAATTTTTCCTCGAGTTTTACTATTTTCATGTGCATGAGAGAAAAATAATATTGTATGGTGTTTGGGAATCTCCAGCTGAAGGATAATGTTATTTTGACACCCAGAGGTCAGGAGAGGAGTGAATTGGCAGCTTAACTGTTACCGGATGGGGAAGAATTAGTCAGTTTGTGGCAGCACTGGTAGGCCTTAGTCAGAAGAGCTGTGAACTGAGGCTGGTGGGTGATAGGACACGACAAAGAGTTGACAAAGAGTTCACAATTTAAAGTGAGAAATTGGGTGGCAAACCCTTGTTGCTGGAGGTGTTTGGTTAACAAGGGACCATCCCACCCTTCCTGTCCCCAGCAGATTTTGCATAGAAACAAATAAGCCACAATTAGCAACTTGTGCCTGGGCAGCGTGGGTGCAGCCACTCTGGGAGGTCAGAGCTGTGATAAGGCCACAGAGGATGAGCAGCTCATTCTTCAGAATGTGAGACATGTGCTGAGAATATCAGACTGGTCAGCCTTGCTGTACTGGTTGTACACCTGTGCCCAGGGACTGAGCTTTGTCATATGTGAGGTCTGTGAAATAGAAACTGCTGAGGGAGCCTCATCAGCAAGAAACTCAGTGTGCACACATAACCTTACACCAAAGAGTTTCATGAAAGCAGTGAGAGGTGTTCAAAGGCCTTGCTTAATTTTTACCAGGGGAACAGAAATTAATTTCCTGGATTGGTTTAATGAATTTGGTAGGGCACAAACAAATTTAGAGATGGCACTGAATTTCCAGTACTGAAGTGCCAAGTTACGCCTACATCTGTCTCGCCTGGAGAAACCACTTGGTTTGAGTTCATTTCAGAGCTGCAGAATGAGTTTGGTGTGAACTGGTCAGGTTTGCCTTGCAATGACAAGAGCATGTTGTATAAATGCCATCCAGCACTTGGGTTTGCAGAAGTCCTTTGAGCAAGGAAATACATTTCTTTCCAGTTCAGCCTCAGCACACAGCTGCAAAGCCTGTGCCTCCTGGGACACACCTGTGGAGGGGCCTGACCTTCAGGAGGAGAAAAACACAAGTGGGGCTCCTCAGAGCAGCCCACATTTTTAATAAAGCATTAAGGAGTGCTGAGATCCCTAAGCATGCAAGGCCATCATGGATAAGCTGGAGGATAGGAAGATCTAATATTCATGATACATCATCCTAAGAAATTTACATCAAAGACAGCCTTTAAAGTGAGACAGTTAATCTTTTTCAGTGCCTGGATTTTGCTTCAGGCCATCTCAACTTTTACTTTGGACTGAAAAACATCACAATTAATCCAAACTAAACATCACGACTAATCCAAATCCTTGGCAGCAGCCTTCATAGCACAGTCCTGTGTGAGCTGCCACATGTCACTCCAGATGTGTTGGTTCAGTCAGCAACAGCCTGTCCACATCAGCGACGTGCAGCTGGGGCCTCTCTGATGTCTCTCATCCAAACTTATGGAGCTTTAGGTCACAGCAGCAGCTTCTGTTGGGTTCAGTGGAGTGATATGGGTGTTGCCCGGTTTTCCTGGGCTCTGGGTTTCCCTGTTCCTGAGTCCCATCTTGCCTTGGAGGCTGCTGGGAAGGATGAAGCTGTCAGGGTGTTCAGGGTCCTGCCAGTGGAGAGTCTGGAGTGCCTGGTGGAAAAAACAGGTGTCCTTGGTTCCAGACATCCTGCACCTACTTAGCTAGGAGACGAACTGTTACCTTCACTTGTTTGTTTGGGGTGGTTTGTGGAGGCTTTATGAGTTAAACCTCTGGACCAGTGGAGTCAGTCACTTGAAATGTCCTTGTATGGAAGGAGGCATTTCAGCCCTCCTGGAAATGCTACTTTGGAATGGCTGAGAAGGAGCCAGAGTTACAGTGCCAGTCAGAGCATGAGGGTGGAAAGCATAAACGGATCAGCAGTCCTGACCTCAGGTGCCATCAGGACTCTGAGAACAGTCAACATGCTTGTTTTCCTGGGAGTTACCAGATAACTGCAAATGACGTTTGTGTACCCCAAGGCAGCAGCCTGCTGCACCATGCTGCTGCCTCCAGTCCCTGCTATGGTGGAAGCACCTCCTACCTGGATTCAGTACAAGTCTGTCCTGCGTGGGCTTTTCCCTCCAGCTTGGTGCTGCTAGAGCCTTTTTTAATTTCTGGCAAGTCACAAATATGTAACATTTCCCAGCTGCCTGTCTGTCCTTGTACTAGCATGTCACAGTGCAGGACAGGGCAGGATAGCTCTTGGTTGTGGTTTCAGAACATTTTAGATCCAAATTCATGGACAGCAAAAACACAGTTCAACACATTTTCTTGTGGATCTGAAGAAAATCACACACTTGTGTAGGAATGCCTGGTTTTCTATAGCCTGTGTATTTAGCCGTAGCTCCTTTGAAATACATATGAAAGTGTAGAGTGAATATATTTCTGGAATAATCTCATTGCCTTCACTAGATCTGTTTGAGGCTCACTGCAAGGTAACCCTGGGCTCACTGTGATAGTTAAAATCAGATGAGACTCAAAAAATCATAGTCTTTGGCTCTGTTTACATCTCTTGCTGCGTTCATAAAGCATCCTCCGTCTGGGGAGCTGCCTGAGCTCTCATATCTGAGATCTGACCAGCTCACCCTTCATGGAAATATGCACTGCAGAGCACCAGTGTGGGGCTGGGCCTGGGCCTGGACATGTGGCACGAGGGCAGGAAATGGTGCGTGGCTGTTAAATGTGGACCAAACCAATATTTGTGTAACACAGTGTTACTGAAATGGGCTCCCAAAGTACTCCAGACTTGGGCAGCCTTTCATAGACTGTTGCTCCATTTGGCAGCTAGAGAGAAAAAGGAGGGGTGGTGGCAGAGCTGTGGCCACAGGTAGCCAAAGCCTGATACCTTATTTGAAGGTGGATGAGCAAGATCCCATTATTGTTAAGTTTTCCTTTGATTTTGAATGAATAGATATTTTAGAAAATTAAATTCTTTGAAAAGCATATTCAGGAAAAGAGTTGCCTGTTACTGCAGCTAATGCAGATCTGGACAGTATTTTTTGCTTGTGGCAAATGGATTGGACTGGACATTTGTTCAGAGAACAGGGCAGTGGTAACTCCCAGCTCCATCCACCTGGGCTTACATTCCTGAGTTTCCTATCCTGTCATTAGGCATCTGAGTCCAGTTGCCAGGTACCTCCAGTAACTGAAAAGTCTTGTCTAGTATTGTAGGTACCTAAAAGCCACAGATACTAAATTTCTGTCAGCAGGCATGAACATAACTGCTGAATTCCTGAAGGTGTTCATCAGTTTGTGCCCAAGGCCTGGGAAGGTTCTTAAACAAGATCTTTTCTTTCTCCAACTTGCCCATGGAAGCTGCTCCAGAGATACCGATCTCTTGCTTAAATCAAAGCATATCTACCCTTTACCCCAACCTCTCCCAGAAGAAAGATACAGAGACTTTTTGTGGTTAGGTTTTTGGGCTCTCTTTTGTTTTGTCATTCGAGTGGAGGGAGAGGGTCAGGGGAGGCACTGCAGGGTCATCCCTGTGTCCCCACAGTGGTCTCAGGAGTGCTGGAATCTGCAGGACCCATCCCGGGCACTCTCCTGTGCCCAAGGAGCTGCTCACCCACAGCTCCTCTCAGATTCAGCAATTATGCCCTGTATCAGCCATCAAATGGTAGTTTCTCCACTTGTTCTTCACTAAAGATCTGGCATTGAGCAGGTGAAGAGCCCACTGAGATGAAGTCAGCTCTGAATTGGATTTAATTGGATCAGGCTTGTTTTGTTGGAAAAGGAAAGTGAAATAATACCAGTTGGGGAAGAAATTTAAGAAATGAAATGGGGTTTGATCAGCATTTTCAAATGTAATTTAGTATATTTTGTTTTCTGAAAGCTAATGCCAAATATTATATTCTGCCTCCTAGAAGTTTTTCCTTTCTTCCTACTGCAGGCAGCCTGCGTGCTCTTGTGCCAGAACCTGTGACCTGAGGACAAGCTGAGCTGCTCTGGCTGTTGTTTTATGGGTTCAGTCCTCCACAAGCACAGCAATTTAGAAGAATTTGGAGAAGGTGAGTTTGATTTCCAGCACTGCCAAATCCATCTTAGAGGACTTTGTAACCATTGGCCTCAGAGAGGGAATTTTCAGAAATACAGAGTAGATTGTCTGTGACTTCAAACGTGTTCTCTTGAAGCCATGTTTGATGTCTCAAAGGGCTGTTTCCTGGCTCCATAGACTGCTTTTAAAAATATAGTTTTGTGTTTCAATATACACACTGAGAAGTGAAATCAAAAACCTGCCCTTCCAAAGTAAAAATGCTGTGGGCAGTATAAGAAAGCTTTTCAGGGCAAGATGCCTGTGAAGGTGCCAGGCTCTTCCCTCCTGTGACCTCTTGAAGAAAGTTCTGCTTTCAGGGGACTTTGGGTGATGGCTTTACCACTTCCTTCTCAGTGGCATTCCTGCTGTGTGCTCGCTGGTACTGGATTTACTCTTGTGCAGTACCTCACTGCTGCTCAGAGAGTTGCCATGGCTTTATTACAGGAGTGAGGGTTAGTGTGGGGATTTGTTCAGATCACCTTTTAACCTACAGCATTTGCTTCTGACCTGACAGTCAAGTTTACTTTGAGACAACTTATTAAAAGAAAGATTCTTACACACAGAAATAAATAAAAAAGCAGGCAAAGATGAAGTAGTTTACAATTCAAATTTTTTCATGGGATTTTAGCCTCAACTGGTGCTAGCAAAGTCTGAATGAAGTTTGGACAGGCAGCCTGTAGTGTGAGCTGCTGACCAGTCAGACAGGGCTGTTGGGATCCAGTCCTTTGTGCTGCCTCAGTGGCCTGTGTGAGGAAGGGAAGAGATTGCACAGCTCAGATTTCTTCCTCTCCCAGTTGGGGATACAACTTCATGGTCTTGAATCTGGTTGGCAGCCAGGCGACAGGGAATGGTGACAGTGCTGGCAGAGCTGGCATGAGCTTTGACCATTGGAAAACAGATAATCCCTACAGTTATTTTTAACAGATCTGGAAGCATAATTCAGAAGAGGGAGATATATAATCTTGTTGTGGCCCCACAATCGTTGTGTTTTCTGTTACACTCGGTGTGTCTGATTAGCTCCTACCTGAGTCCAAAAGGACACTGATGCTACAGAATATATGGCCTCAGGGAGCTACCATGGACACTGCTGAGCATCTTCAGAGTCTGCAGCTGTGTTTTACTAATGCCTTTGTTGTGAAGCTTTGTTTTCCTAACAGCTAATTTATTAGTGAACAAATTGAAGCTTTTGCATATTAAAAGACCTGCCAAGTATCACTTAGGGGCCAGAACAGAGACTAATGAAATTATAAAGTCTCTCCCCAACATCCAAATAAAAAAGCTCTTAAAAAGTCTTTTTAATTATTCTCTGGGATGGAATGTACAAGATCTATAGTGTATTGCAATATCATAATTGCAATATCCTGATTCACCTCCGTTGGCGTGGCCCTGCTCTGGGGACACGAGGGTCCAGGATCCATCACTCCATCACTCGGGCACGTTAAACCACACACAGGGGTTAGCTGGTGCTCCTGCTATCACTGATATCTTGAGCTGAGAAAAATCAGTTTCAGGCTCTTTTCTGTAGAACCACGGTGCTGTCTGTGTTTCAAGCAGTGGTACATGAGTGCTGTGACCTCTTTCCTTCTGAGTCAGTCTAACCAGCACCTGTCAGTGAGGCTGCCCATACACAAGAGCTGCTGTTCCTGGCCAGTCAATTATTTCGAGCTCATTGTTAGTCACTTCTGTGGGAGAAAAGGCAGAATTATTGTAGTGCTCCACAGAGCACGGTGACATGTGAGGGGCTGTGTGTCCTGGGCATGAACGAGCAGCGTGTGCTGCGTTCAGCAGCCTGTGGTGCAGGGAGGCTCTGCTGGCTTGGCTGGGGAATCACAACTCCTTAAACAGCTGAACCTTGGCAGAAATTGGAGTGACCTTTGTGCCAATGACTCTGCCGGGAGTTTTCTTAGTCTGCATGTAACCTGTATAGGCGTTGCAGCTGGATGTGGCTGTGGACAGCTCAGCTGAATTGTCAGCTGATTTCTTCAAATACGTCCTGCTGAGATTTCAATTATGTTACTGGATGGAAATCCTTCTGTTGAGAATATTTGAAAGGAGACTGGTATGCACACAATTAAAGGATGTTTTTGGGGAGCCTGGGGTTTTGGGTTTTATTTTAAAAAATCTATTAAACTGATGCACTAGTAGAAGTTCATTTCTATTTTATACATAATGTTTTTAAGTGGGAAACTTGCACTGTCTTTTACCATGTGAAACAAACGGTTTGATCATCTCCTTGAATCCTATTCTGCACAAAAATTCACCTTTGGAATCCCATCCCTGTGCTTGGGGTTTCAAAGCGGGAGAGCTGCTCAGAGCACCTGTCAGGGGAGCGTGTGGACAGGGAGCTCTGCTGTGAGTCACTCTGCAAGGGGCTTTCCCTGAATGAAGGGACTGAATCTGACTGATCTGTGAGCCTGTGTAACACACACACACACACACACACACAAACTAGATCCAGCATGCAGTGCAAGATCTACCACATCCATCTGTGCCTCTTACTGGGATGTGGCAAGGACTTAACTCAGTCCAGTGAACTGTGTTCATGGCTAACAGGGGTTGTTTTCATCTCTAGAAGCACAAGAATGTGCAAATCTGAAATCTTATTTAAAAAGTGCATTTCAAGAGAAAATATCACATGGACAGTGAGAGGTCTGAGTGCTGCAGATGTGTGAGACAGACAACAGAATCAGGTGAGAACAGTGTGCAGTGAAGGATTTACAAGAGTGTCACATCCCAGCTGTGTTAACTCGGCGTTCTGTTGTGTCTGAGATCACTGGGTGACAAAAGTAATGTCTTTACAAATAATTTTTCAAGCCATTTGTATATCAAGGCTAGTGAAAGCAATATAGGTGGGATATTAGGAAGAAATTTTTTACAGAGGGAGTAATCAGATGTTGGAATGGGCTGCCCAGGGAGGTGGTGGATTCACCATCTCTGGAGGTTTTTAAGATGAGACTGGATGTGGCATCAGTGCCATGGTCTGGGAACCACAGCAATGTTGGATCAAGGGTTGGACTTGATGATCTTGGAGGTCTTTTCCAACCTGGTTGATTCCATGATTCTGTTCTATAATATCATAATTCAGGTGATATTTCCACCTGTACTTCACTATTCCAATAAAGAAATTATGTGGGGAGAAGACTCCTGCACATGGAAAGACAATGGGGAGAGAGTGAGAAGTAAAAAATGGCCTCTGTGCTTCCCCCTGGCTTGGGAATCTGAGGGGGAAGAAGAAAGGCATGTGGGGGCCTGAGGAGTCAAAATGCTGATAACTGCAAGGAATTTCTGCTCTGCATCTAGGCACAGTGACAAGAGGAGCTGGGAAGAGCTTTAGCTGACTTTGGGACTGCTGCCAGACTCCTGAACAATTCTGAACACATTCTTAAGTGTTCATTTTAAGGACAGAGAGAGCAGGGGAAATGACCATTTTAAATAATAAAAAAAAATGGTGATATCTTCAGGCAAACTCTTCTGGCTAGTTCAGAGCTGTTCCGGTTGGGTGGTGACTGAAGTTGTGAGTGGCTTTGGAATCTGCCTGTGTTCTGAATTTGAATGTGTCTGTGGCAGTGGGACTCCTGTTCCCTCCCATCACTGCTGCAGCGACACAAGGACTCTGCAACTGTGCTCTGCTTGTGCTCTGCAGTAACAGCCTTGAGTTACTGCTAGGGGAATGCTGCATTAAACAAACTGAAAACCTAAAGCAAGGGTTCAGGCCTTGGTTGTCTCCTCTTGAGCACTTGACCACAACCTGAACAGACAGTGCATCTGAGAGCAGGTCCCTGGGACAGGTGCTGCTGAAGGGAGGACATGGCCCCTCTGAGTGTGGGCTCGAGAGCTGCCTGCCAGATGGGAGCTGTCCATGGGCCCAGCTGAGAAGTTTCTGGAGCATGGGAGGAAAATCTGTGACTTTTTCCCCTCCCATCCTCTCCCTGCCATGTCTCTTCTACGTGTGGGCAGTTGTGCTCGAATCTGTGGCTTGACTCTCACACGTGTCTCACCATGGAGCTGCCTCTTCCTCCCTGCAGGCTGAGGGACCTTTCCTTGGGCTGTCTGGGGGCAGTGCTGGCATGAGAAAGGTGCTGCTTGCAGTGCGAGCCCTTCTCTCCTACAAGTGCTGTGCAGGGAGCATCAGGGGGAGAGGCAGCCATGTGCAAAGGCTGCATTTCCTGCTACCTGTCCTGCCAAACCCAGTGGCTCCTTTGGGCCTCGGGGCTTGTACAGCTCAGACAGAGACTTGTAGAGAGTTATATGTGCTTCGTGCTGCTGTGGGTGGACAGCCCTTTCTCTACTGGAAAAAGGAGTAATCCTGGATAACACGTCTGCTTGCTGCTACACCTTCACCCTAAATAATTTTAAAAAGATGATATCGGTAAGATAAAACCTCAAATTTGATAATTAAGTTTCCATTCCAAACCCACAGTCCCCAGCAGGGTCTCATGAAGTGCCACCAATCTGTATTAGTTCTTCATGCAGTTACGTGCTCTTTAGGGCCAGAGACAACCCCCTACATGTTCTGGTTCACATGTGAACTTTTGTGTATTACTGTGCTGTGGTGAATGCTCTGTTTGAGCAGATATCATGAACAGATTCTGCAGCACTGGGTTTTTCAGAGGCTGAGCAGAGATGCCTTACAAGTTAGACAGTGTTGAACTCACTCTGTGAAATCAGCTGCAGGGAATCCAGGCTTCACTCAAGACCCAGCTTTTTAGCGTTAAATCATGGGGGTATTTTAAAGTGAAACTGGGAAAGTTGTGCAACTCTGCAGGGAGCAGAGCCCAGAACAAACTCCAGGTTTAAGTTTTCTCACTGTTTTCCTGCAATTTAGTGATTTGTCTGTTCTATATCCATGACTACATGGCCGTTAGGAGCAGACTTTTTTCATTGTCTAAAATACTTGCAGCCATGGCAGTAGTTCCCAGTTTGTCAGTCTCCTGGGCTGTGGATCCCAATCCTCTGGCCAGGACATCCTGCTCT